CCCCCGCCCCGCAGCCGTCCCCCTGCAGCGCCCATTCCAGGCCCCTGGCCTGCGCCCTCCTGCACCCGCCCAGCCGGCCTCCTCCTGCTCCCGGCTGCCCCCGCTCCGGGTCGAGTCCCGGCGCAGCTGGCACTAGGGAGCTGGGGCGTGAGGGGAGTCTGCCCTCCTGGGGCACAGCCCTGCCCACCTCCCTGCGGGCCAAAGCCTCGCGCCCGCCGCCCCGCCTCTCGGTCCCCGCCTGGCACACGGCCGCCTCCTGCCGAGGACCTTCACACGGGCCCTGGCTGGGACACTGGCCCCGGGGAGCCTTGGCCTGTCACAGCGCTCTGGGCGCGCCCCGGCACGCAGCCGTCCTCCCACACACCCTGCCCCTTTGTCTGGCCGCATCTTCCTCCGACGCACTTGTTCCCCAGGCCCCAGGTGCTTCCCTGACGTGTCCTTGGTCGTCTGGCCCCCGCCGGGCCCCACTGCTGTCCCGGCACCCTGCGTAGGTGACAGGGACCCCAGGACACCCCGAGCCAGAAGCCCAGACCTGAACTGAATGCCACCTGCGCCAGGCCCTGCCTTGGAGTTCAGGGAGACGGCGCCTCGCGGCCCACACGCTCCTGGAGGGACAGCACTGGGCCGTTCGTGAGGTGACAAGTTACTACCTGGGCGGAGCAGGGGGGCCTGCCCTGGCCTGGGTGGAGGAGGTGACATCTCAGGCCCATGCAGCGCTCACTGACTGCGCAGGGGTGAGGGCTGCAGGCTGGGCCTGGGCGGGGGACGGCTGAGGGAAGCAGAGCTTGCGTACCCCACACCCCCCCGCGAGGGTGTCGGGGCGCCCACCCCCACCTCTGCTAACGCTGCGCGGGGCCGGCGAGGTCAGGGCAGCCTGCTGTGGGGGCGCCGAGCCTACCGTCCTTCTTCCAGGAGATCTTGGGGAAGGGGACGCCCCAGCAGTCACAGGACAGCCTGGCAGGGTGTCCCTCCATCACCGTCAGGGTGAGGGGCTCCCGAGAGGGGAACGCTGGCGCGGCTGGGGGAGAGCAAAGAGGGCGTGAGAGGGTGGGGCAGGGTGCGCTGGGGGCAGGTGGAGGGGCACTGCACCCTGCACCCCAGGCCTAGGGTCAGCCCTGCAGCCCTGGGGACCCTGCAGCGTCGGGCAGGGACCCAGCCGGCCCACTAGACCCTCACCCCACACGTGCAGGTTGTAGTGCTTCTCCGAGCGGCCCGCCTGGTTCAGCGCCTCGCAGGTGTAGCGGCCCGCGTCCCCCACCTCCGCTCTGTCCACCTGCCGAGAGCAGGGCGGGCCTCAGCGCCGTCAGCAGGGCGGCAAGGAGGCGGCTCCCCGCGAGGCCCACCTGTCGCTTTACGCCGCAAGGCCCAGCCTCCCCACCAGGAACGCCCAGAGGAGTTTCCGGAAGACAGTGCGGGGTGTCCCACCCAGTCCAGACACAGGCAACGGGCTCCCTGAGGGGCAGCCCCCCAGCTTCACCCCGCGACACCCGGCCCGGCCTGCTAAGGGTGGTGGGCCCCACCCTCCCCCCTCTGCTCCCAGGCTCTTTGGAAGGAGAAGCCAGAACAGAAGGTGGGATGAAGCATGGGGGGGCCCCATCCTTGGGGCCAGGCCCTAACACAGGGGGTGAGGGAGCAAGACACCCCTCGACTCCGAAGAACGAAGGGACAGAGGGAACCAAACAGTGTGCTGGGAGTCGGAATGATCCTATCCCAAGATGTCAGGGGAGGAGCGGCCGGCTGCGCTGGCGGCTGGCCCCAGCCTGGAGAGGCGGCTGGCCCCAGCTGACACGGAGCAGCGACTCTCCGGGGACCTCAGACACCCCCAGGCGCCCCTGGGGCCGTGTTTACACAGGACACCCCAGGGTGCAGGGTCCGGATGCCCACGGTGCCCCAGCCAGGAGAAGGGGCTCTGACTTCATCCAGGCCAACCCGCGGCCCTGGGCTAACCCGGCCCTGCAGGCCCGGGGCCCGGGAGCAGCTTCGCCCCCAGAGGAGGCTTTGGGGCAGGAGCAGAGACGGGGGAGGCTGCTGTGCCCTGGGCGCCAGGCTGGCGGGGCTCGCAGCCACGCCGAGCCAAGTGGGTGCTCTTGGGGCCCCGCTGTGGCCGGGTGCAGGCCCGGGAGGGCACACACCTCCAGCACAGCCTGGTCTGCAGAGAGGCGGACGCCGGGCCGGGGGTCCAGCGGGCGGCCGTCCTTCCGCCAGCTCAGCACCGGCGGGGGCACAGCGTGGCTGCGACACTCCAGGGCCACCGACTCATTGGCCACCACAGACACGTTCCGCTCTTCTCCCTGGATGCTGGGGGGCACTGCAGGAGGGGAGGGGCCCTGTCTCAGGCACGGCCGGGGTGCGGGTGCAGGCCAAGGCCTGGGGAAGGGCCAGCGTCCTCCAGCAGAACAAAGCTGGGTGGGCCGCCCCTCCTTGACCTTCAGCGTCCTGCGTCCAAAGGAGGTGCCCGCCTGTCCTCGATGGGGCGCTCACCCTCCGCTGACCCCGTGTGAAGGCAGCCACAGCCCCGCCTTATCGAGCCCCGACAGAGCCAGGCGAGCCCCCGCTCCCGGCCCGAGACTCACCGTGCACTTGCAGGGTGACTTCCCCGCGGTCCTCGCCCACGGCGCTCACGGCCACGCAGGTGTAATTGCCAGAGTCGGACACCCGGGCGCTGGCCAGGGTGAGGACCCGGCCCCCCGGGAAGACCTGTGTCGGAAGGAAGCTTGTGAGTTGGTGCGCCCCGAGGGCTGTACCCAGACAGACCGGGGGCGGGCCCTGCTCCCTGGCTCCCTGGGCCCCCTGCTCCACTCCAGCACCCCCACAGTGCAGGGGGCCCGTGAGCTGCCCCCAGCTCTTGGGACCCGTCTGGCCAGTGGGCAAGGGCATCATGCTGCCCATTCTCCAGAACAGCGCTGTCCACATCAGAAATGGCCGGGCGGACTAACATGCATAAAAGTTGGCTCCACGCTCCTTTTTACTCATTTCGACGAGGCTACTAGAAAGTTCTAAGTGGTGGGAATACCTGGCAGGTGTGGTATGCAAGCTTCGGGGCCCAGCACAGCTCCAGACCGTCATCTGCACGGCACCCACCGCCCCGCGGCCCACCACCCAGCGGTGCCCGGCCCTGCTGACCTGGAGGCCGTTGGTCCCAGAGGGGGACACGGGGTTGCCGTCCTTCAGCCACATGAGCGTGGGGCTGGGGGCCCCGCTGGCATCACAGGTCAGCCGCACTGGGGCGTTGAGCATCACAGGGCCCGGCAGGCTGGGGGGCAGTGTGATGCGTGGGGGTGCTGCAGGTGGGTGACATCGGAGCTGAGCCCCAAGGCAGTGTGGGCCCAGCAGCCCGATGCACACACACCCCCAGGCCGGGGAAAGCGCTCCCCACACAGCCCTACCCAGTGCTGGCTCAGCCCCGGCAATACCAGCCCGAGGCCTCTGCATGTGGGAAAGGAGGTCAGGAGGGCGAGGCGCCAGCCCAGGGC